CCTCCGACCCCATCTGCTCGGATCACATCTAGGAGGCCTCTAATGGCGCGCTTGCGCTTCCCTTGCTCCCTCCTCTTCTCGCGCTGGCCGTGCCTTCGGGTGCGGGTGGCCTGCTGGTGGATGGATCTGGGGGCGACTGTGCCTTGCGGCGCGGTCGCTGATGCCTGCGTCCCCAAGTGCGACGGGAGCCCTTTGTTCCCCCGGGGCCAGCTTTGTGCTGCCATCCTATCAGGAGAAAAACACACAGACACATATCATCGTCGGCTTCACCGTAGATATGGGAAGCCATGGGAAGCGGAGGGGAACACGAACCCCCAGAGCATATGGAACACTTCTGCAATCCTGGTGTCTGTGTCCGTCTATTGGTGTTTGTCCCTGGGCCTTAGTGGGCCCGGGCAACGGCAGGGCCGTTTTTTCACCGTTTCTGAAAAAGTGTCCCTTGAAAATGGAAACGGCAAAAAAACGGCGACCGGAAACGGCAACAAAAACGGCTCCAGGATTGGAACCGGAGCGGGAACCCGTACAAGAACGGCGACGGAACCGCTAACAAAAACGGCGTCGGAACAGGCAAAACAACGGCAAAACGGGACCAGTAACAAAAAACGGCCCTGTCGTTTCCAGGGCCCACTGACAGGCCAGCCACAGATGGGGGAGCTGTGGTCCTTACCCCCCTGGGGGGCCTATCGATTTCGACACCCCTCTCCAGAGATCGTCGATGCGATGGGTTCCCCAGGGGGGTAAGGACCACAGCTCCCCCAGTTATGGCGTGTCGGACTGAGCCCTCGGCCCCTTCATTCTGCCCATGCCGTCCGCTGCGGTCCCTCGGCCTGCCCGGCCAGCTCGCCTCGGGGCTCCGCCCTCGCCCTCGGTGGGGCTGCCCGCCCAGAGGGAGAGGCCCGGTTCCGCCGCTTCGTACGCTTGCCCCCCGCGCTCCATCCTACTTCCTTCTCCTCCTCCTCCTCCTCGCCTTCTCCTCCTCCTCCTCCTCCTCCTCCGCCTCCTCCTCCTCTCCGTAGCCATTTTGGCTCAAGGCTAAACGTAACGAAGGTTCGGAGAACCGAGGTGTTGCGATTAGCTTTGGACCCTTCCGTAGCCTCCTGGCTCAGTGATCGGGGCGCCCCGCGCGCGGGCCGCCGCATGCCTGTGGCGTCTCCCGGCGTCAAGAAACCGAAAAAGCCGAAGAAGGGCCCGAGGAAACACAACATCGATGGCGACAACAGTGACGCTTCAGGGACCACTGCTCAGCCTCCTGGTGGTGCTGGTGCTTCTGCTGCTCTCGCTGCAGATAATCTACCTGCCCCTGCTGATAGCGACCCTGCTCATGGCACTCATGGTGAAGATGAAAATGAAGATTGGGGTTGGGAAAACTGGACCTGACGAGTACACTCGGTACCTGGCGAAGGAGGAAGCCACCAAGCTGCTCCGCGAATACAAGCAGACGATGCTGGACTCCATCAAGTCCACAGTGGACGAGGCCATCAACCCCTTCGCCGAGCAGCTCTCCAAGCACGCCGAGTCCGCTGCTGAACTCGCCCAAGGTGTCAAGGACCTCCCCAAGATGGTTGACGATGCTGCTGCTAAGCGCTTGGATGGTCAGAATCGCCGCCCTCAGGAGCATATCGACGGGATGCATATTCGGCTGCGCGCCCATGAGACCAGACTGGACACCCACGACTCCGACACTTCCTACCTCAAGGCCGAGATCAGCAAGCTGCACGAGCTCCTCGCCGTCGCCAACGATGTCCCCAAGGCCCCGCTGCTCCCCGCCGCCGGCTCTGATCGTGACACCGACCCGTGTGTTATCAAAGTCATCGCAGCCAAGCTCACGGCCCTCGATCAGGTTCAGCAAACTCTCACGGATTGGATCGCTGAGGTTGGTGTTGAGCCAAAATTCTTCAAGATCTCTTCCCCTGAAGCCGTCAGCCGCAGCTTCTCCATCAACTTCGTTGGTGCACCCGCCCCCGCTGCTCGTCGTGTTGCCAAGGTGCTCGGCGCCCAGCGCCTCGGGCCTGGCCAATGGAAGCGCTTTGAGACCACCGCAGCAGACGGACAGCCCACGGCCTTTCATATCGGCCCCGACAAGAATCCGCGGCAGATTCGCATGGAGATGCAGGCTCGGAGAATTCGGGACGCTTTCAAAGAGATCGACTCTTCAAAGCGCTGGTACGTTGACAAGGGCCGAGGCTATGTCATGGCAGGTTGGGGCCCGATTCTCAAGACCAGCCCTAACCCTGGCAACGCTCCCTCCACGCTCAATTGGGCCGACAACCTCATTGCTAAGCTTGGTCTGCCGAAGCAGCAGTTATCAGCAGCCGCTGCCGCCATCGTCGCACCGCCAGAATCGGCTGAGTGGTGTCTTTAGTGGGCTGGGGAGATTACTGCGAGATGAGTTTCGAGGGCATGGTTTGGTTTCCTTTGTTTCATGGAATGCGAGGGCGCTTCTTCAATACCAGGGTGCTCACTCCGAAGTGAAGCTGGACTACCTTCGTCGATTGGACTTTTTGAATGGGGTGGTTTGCCATCAGGAGGTGCATCAAGATGCTGTGCAACTACGAGACGCTATCGGGAAAGCTCATCGTGGTGTGCGCATTTTCTCTTCCCGCTGCGAGGAATCGCTAGTGGAAGGCGGGGTCGCCACAGTTTTGCCTGCCTCCTGTCCTGCAGTGGTTCATGCTGACGAACTTGCCCCAGGACGCATGCTCCGTCTTTATCTGCATTGCGAGGGGCGCCATCTCTTCCACTACAATGTACACAACCATGGTAGCAGTAGCGCCCAATTCCTAAAGGTAAGTAGGGCGCTTGGGGCAGACGCCAGTTTTGCCAGAAGTTCTCCGTTGACTACCACCGTGGCAGTACATGGGGACTTCAATTTTGCCGCTTCACCCCCTCTTCTTCTCCACCGCCCTGGTCGCCGAGGGGGCCCAGGTGAAGGCCGCCGTGCTCAAGCCGCCACATGGGCCAAGCTATTGGCACCTCTCATGGAGTTCACGTCGGACGAACCTACTCACTACGACGCCGACGCCCACTCAGTCTCCGCCTTTAGATAGACTCTGGGTCAGCCCCCCCCCCCCCCCCCCGGTTGGATTGCGTGCCAAATTCATGCCGTCCCACGCGTGCTGGGGTTTCCCGAGGCCTTATCCGAGAAAGAGGTGAGTGACCACGCAGCCCAGTCGTGCTCTTTCTCGCAGCGCTCCTCAAAGCCCGAGGGGTATCGCAAGATCCCGTGGCGCATTTTCGAGTCCAAAGAGTTCCAGGACTTGCTGGATACCGTTACTCGCCAGCTAGATTTCACGCCCCGCTCGCCTCCCAGGCAGATTGAACTCTTCAAGTGGGCAGTGAAGGAGGTTGCGCGTGAGATTCGCGATCGTCTGATGCGGCGCGACTCCGGGTCACTGGGCTCCCAGCTCCTGCTAGCGAGGCAGATTTCTCGGGCGGTTTGGCGCAATGATGTTTCTCTCGCCGTTCGCCTTCGAGCTACTCGTCAGGCGACCAGAGACTTCGTGGACATCTCGTCGGGCGCCGTCTTGCTTGTTCATGCTCCCTCGTTCCAGCAGTGGAGCGAAGCAGTGCAGGTACGTCATGCTGACCTTCGCCGCCGTCACCTGGAAGCAGAGCTCGCGGGTGGACGGTCTTCCCCTCAGCTCCGCCACCAACTTCGAGCTCTCGAGAGGCGTGCAGCTATTTGGTCACCTCTTTCTCGTCGGCTGGTTCTTCAAGGCATCAAAGATTCAGGTACTGGCACATCCTCAACGTCTGACAAGATTCACATGCACGACAAGCTGGTGGAGCACTGGGCGCCGATTTTCATTGCCAAACCTAGCAGTGTTCCTGCTGCCCGCGAGTGTGTGAAGGGACTGGTCCAGCCAATGTGTTTTGATGAGGTGCCGCCACCGACCCCGTCACTTCTTCGTGCAGTCGCCAAGAAGTTTCGTCACTCAGAGCCGGGTCTAGACGGCATTTCCTACTCGGCGTGGAGCTCATCATCGCTAGGTCTCTCGGTGCTCTCAGGCGCCATGATGTGGGTTCTCTCTGGGCAGGCGTTGTTCAAGTCATCCAACGATACGCTCCAAGTGTGGCTTCCGAAAGGCGATGACCTTGCGGACAGTGTGGCCGCAGGATTCACTCGGTCACCGTCCCCCGTCAGAGTGCTTGGACTGCGCAATACAGACATTAAGATCATTACGGCAACGATCAATGCACGCTTCAGTGTCCTTCTCAAAACTAGGGCCCCTCGCTCTCAGCGAGGCTTTATTCCACAGAGGAACTTTGGACTGAACATCCTGGGGCTCGACGCGGTCAGCAGGGTCTACTCAGATGTGCCGTCGGCCGAATCCAATGTCCCAGTCTTGATTGCACTTGACTATGGAGCTGCTTTTCCCAGCCCCTCTCAGGAGTTCATGTGCGCGGTGCTCAACGAGATGCAGGTGCCGCGAGCCTTCCTGTCCATCATCGACCAGCTGTACTTAGAGCTCGAGGCGTTTGGAATGGTCCGCAATGCTCCTACCCATGCGTGGTGGGTTACGTCTGGCATTGTCCAGGGCTGCTCATTGAGCGGCTCACTCTACGCTGCGGCCACTGCCCCATTTCTGGTCGATATCCAGCGCCAGCTTGAGACACCGAGGAAAGGTATTGCTCGTGCTTGTGCCGACGACATTGGTGCCGCCATCAGAGACATTCTCAGCCTGTCCATCTTAGCGGACATCATGCATCTTGCCGAAAGATTTGCCACGCTGTCATTGAGGATCGACAAATGCAACCTCGTCCCGCTGCACAAGCCTTTCTCGGAAAATGTGGCATCAGAGGTTCGCTCGCTGCTCTGTGAACACGTTCTTTTCTTCAATCGTATCAACATTGTCGAGTCCCTCAAGTACCTTGGCCTTATTCTTGGCCCTGCTGCCGATGCCGACTCGTGCTGGACTTCTCCTGCGGTGAAGGCCCATGAAAGATCCGAGTTGGTCGGCCACAGCCACCTTCCCGTGTCTCGCTTGCCAGTTCACCACAACACCCGCATCACCGCAGTACTGTCGTATGTTGCCCAATTCCGTCTGATGCCGCGGTGGCTAGTGCAGAGCGAGCTTGTGGCCTCATCACGTTCTTTTCGCCTGCCATTGGGTGCTTTCTCGATGTCGGCATGGCTCCAGTTGCGCTCGGCGGGTGGGCCGACGATTAACTCATGGCTGGCGATGAGCACTGGGTCCCTTCTTCGTACTGCGTGCCGTGCCCTGCCTGAGTTCGAGCGTTTGCATTCGTGGCTCTTCCGTCAGCGCAGTCGCCTAGGAGATCGCATCTCACTTGCGCAGCTGTCATCATCTCGGCCATGCCCCTCTTTCGGGCGCCGCGAGGCGTTCGTGGAGACGCTGTTCAACGTCAAGCACGGCTCGTGCCAGTCCACGGTTTACACACCCGAGTTGCTGTCCATTGCGCGCCAGGCAGCTACGCATCGTCTCCTCGTCCAGCCGTCTGGCGTGGGCCTACAGAGGCGCATAACGTTGGCGGTCAAGAAGCATCTTATCTCTGGTCCGCTTTGGAACGTACTGGTCGCGAGGCTCGCCCTCGCCCATCCCGACATGTACGATGATGGTGCGTCTAAAGTGCCTGCGACAAGATGCTCCCACATCGAGAAATACCTTCGCTCTTGCTCAACCTCGTGGGCTATGGCGTATTTGAAAACTGCTGCCAACGGATGGGCTACGTCTTCCCGCATCCTTGGTGGCCGCGGACGCCTTCCCTGCCGCTCCGGATGCGTGGGCGCGGCAGACCAGTTCAAGCGCTATCTTTCGTGCCCGAAGTTCCGCAAAATCTGTGAGGAGGTGATGGGCTTCTCTCGCCCTGCCCACCCGCTTGGTCGTCTTGGCCTCCTCGGATCCGAGGTGGATATCAGCAAGGTGGTCTTCGACATAGTGGTGATGCACTTCGCCTACCACGCGGCGTCACACGATGCCCCGTCTGGGACCTGGTCACCTGCTTTCGCTCGCTCTCATGTCTTGGCCGCTATTCGTGCTGTTTCCCTCAGAGCGCGGCGACCTGATCATCTACCGTGGCGGCGCTCCAAGCCCTCAGTGCCAAGGCGCAGACCAGTGATCTCATCGTCTTCGACGGCCTCATCTTCTTCTTCTTCCTCCCCGTCGTCGTCTGTGGCCTCGCGCAGCGCAGAGGGCTCTTCAGACAGTGGATGTACATCCGCCACTCTTCCGTCCATGAGGACCATTGGCGGCGCTTTCGACCTTGTGGCTGGAGTTCCCGTGGCTGGCCGTGTGACCAGTGGCACGCGTGACTCACCTTCGCCGAGAGGGAAGCATACGTCGGGGGCTTTGGCAGGCAGAGAGTACCGACCCGTGTGCTGGTGCCACGCGGGTACGCATTGCTCACCTGCCTCACCCCGCCGCCCTGTCATTCCTGGCGTTGCTGAAGCCCTGGTCAGACCCTTCGTCGTGCAAGAGTCCCAATCCTCGCATACTGGAGGAACTGTGTGTACGCCGCGTCCCCCTTCTCCGTCACTGGGGCAATTTCCCCTGCAGGACTCTGAGAGGCAACGACGGGAACTTACCAATCGGGTCACCTGCTGGGCGTCCGCGTGGCTCCCATCCATCTTCTACACTGCCACCCAGAATGACTTCGACACGTGGAGGGACTGGTGTGTGGACTACGTCTTCGGGGTGCTTCACTATCGCGGATTCTCCGCCCTATTCGCGAACGACAGCCCCGCCCTGATCCAAGACATGAAAAGAGCTGCTGAAGAAATATGCATGGCGGGCTGGCAAGGATCCTCTTCATCTCGCGAGCAACTACGTCAGCAACTTCTGCGTGGCATTTCACAGAGCGACTCCGTTCTCCTTCACATGATTTTTTTGTGAAAACTCGCTTGCACATGGAAATGCTTGAATGGCGTCCTGACCCATCTCGGATGGAGGATCTGAATCGTACACGCTTTCAGCAATGGAAGGATACTACTGCGACCTGGCGTGCAGCACCTTGGTCTTCCACTGCGCCTGCGCCCAGCCCGCTTTTCTGGTTCCCCAACGACGATGCAGCCGCCCACACCGACTACCCTTCGCCCACGGACGAGGACCTCCGCACCATGTACGCATGCTTTGACAACTCTTCGCTGCCGATCAAGGGCCTTTCACCACCACTCGAGGACGACTTCATGAGCGACGACGAGTACGACTACCTATTGGCTTCTGGAGCGTGACATGTACGACCAATGGCATTACCATCCACGCCCCCGTCGTGGCCGGCGGCAGGTTCTGGTGATCCCCCCCTGGTGCCGACGCTGATGTTCTTGACTGGCTTGGTCTACCTCCTGTGCGTCACGGCGGGGTGGCACATGTCGGGCAACCTCTCCCTGAACCTCATCTGCCTCCTGATGCTCACAAACAGCTACTCCATCCCCAGCGGCGACCGCAGGATGATCCCAGAGAGCTACTCCGTCCTCGGCTTCCTCCGCGCGTGCGCGCTGCGGGCCAAGGGAATGTGTTTGGTCCCCAGGCTGCTGACACT